ACTCGAAGGTACCATTTAAAGATACACCCTCATTTGAATTGGCTCCTGAACCAGTTGTTCATAATGTAAAAGCTAAAGTGTTCCAATACGAGTCACAGATGCAGCAAGTGAAAGCCTTGGAGCCAACCTCAGAGTCACTGCTTCAAGATGTGAAAACCATGGCACTAAAAACAGAGTCACAGACGGGAAGTACAAAATCTGTTCAATGGATACCAATATCTGAGTTTCAAAATGGGAAATATATAGGGTCAAATTTAAGGTTCCGTTCTCAAAGTGCCAAACCTACAGAATTGAAGCCGTCTACACAATGGAGAGGGGTGAGGTCATCTGATTTGACTGTCAGGTCAAAAATTCAAGGAGAAAAATCTGTGGGGTTTCATCCTGATCCCCAGTCACAGCTAGTAAAAACCTCTCCATTAACAGTACTAGGGCTTCAGAAAACCAAAACCTGTAACTTAACTTCAGAGCCACAGCCTCAAGGGATCAAAACTACGCAACTAAACAAAGAGCCACAGGTTGAAAGTGTAAGATCTATTCGGCGGCTACAAGGACCTGAGTTCCACAGAGTGAAGTTTTTAGGATTAACTTGTGGGTCACCATCTCAAGGTGTCAAATCTGCAGAACGGAAACCATCCATACAGTTGGGAGGTGTGAAGCCATCAGAGATGACTCCAAGGCCAAAACTTCAAGGAAAAAAATCTGTGGATTTTAACCTTGGGCCACAAGTACAGTATATAAAAACCCCTGAGTCGTCCCCAGAACCACAGCTACAAAAAGGGGAAAACTTTGCATCCACTTCAGAGCCACAGCTTCAAGGTCTTAAAACTGTGGAGCTAAACAGAGATCCCCAGGTTGGACGTCTAAGATCCGTTCAGTGGCTACCAGGACCTGAGTTCCACGGTGTGAAGTTTTTAGGATTAAATTGTGGGTCACCATCTCAAGGTGTCAAACCTACAGAACGAAAACCATCCATACAGTTGGGAAGTGTGAAGCCACTTGAAATGACTCTAGGGCCAAAAATTCAAGGAAAAAAATCTGTGGATTTTAACCTTGGGCCACAAGTACAGTATATAAAAACCCCTGAGGTGTCCGCAGAACCACAGCTACAAAAAGGGGAAAATGTTGCTTCAGCCTCAGAGCTACAGTCTCAATGTGTAAAAAGTGTGGCATCACACCACAGACCACAGCTTGAAAATACAAAATCTGTTCAGTGGATTCCAGTGTCTGACTGTCAAGTTAAGAAATCTATGCTGAATCTTAAAGGGTTACAATCTCAAGATGTCACAGTTAAAGAGTTAAAACCCTTGGTACAACTAAGAGATTCTAAGACATCTGATGAGTTGACTACAAGGCCAAAGTTTCAAGGTAAACAACCTTCAGGGTCAACCCAGGCACATCAGCCTCAAAGGTTCAAAACCATTGATTCCAAATCTGAGATACAGTTTAAAAGTATGAAAGCATGTGACCCAAAATTAAAGCCAAAGGTAAGTAATACAAAACCGACATTCAAACCCAGATTTCACTTAGAAGACACGAGCTCTCCTGGAGTGAACCCTGGAATACAGCCACAAGAAGTGAAACTCTTAGGGCCACCCCCAGGAACACAACCTCGAGTTGTGACATCTTTAGTGTTTAAACAAGAGTCACAGTCCTCAGCTGTGAAATTTGGGGTATTAAGCCAAGGGCCATACTCACAAAACGATCTAGAGTTGAAAAGTGCAAAATCCTCTGAGTTGGCATTTCAGACAAAGCCTCGAGGTATGAAGTCTGAGGTCAATTCTGGGCCCCAGTGGCAAAGTGCAAAATGTTCTGACTTGACACCTGAAACAGAGTCCCAAAATGTAAAATGTACTAAGTCAAGTCCCAGTTTACAGTTGAAAGGTAAACTATTTACTGAGTTAGCTATGAGAACCAAAATTCCAAGTGTCAAGCTAGACTGTAAACTTGGGCCACAGTGGCAAGGTATAAAACCCAATTCAATTCTAAGGACAAAACCTCAAGAAACGGAAATGGAAGACCGTGAATCAGGCCCGCAGTTACAAGATCTGAAATCTTCAAGGACAATCATGGGTATAAAAGTCCAAGATGTCAAATCTGTGGATTTCATTCCTGGACCACACTTACAAGAAATGACATCTGAAGTCATTACAGAGAAGAGGGTTCATGGTATGAAATCAGCAGAAATCAAACCTCCTTCAAAGTTACAAGGTAAGAAGCCTGAATTCACCCCGAGGAAGATGTTTTTAGGCACAAAATCTGTAGACCTGGACTCAAGTCCCCCTTTACAAGATTTGAAATACCCTGAGCTCATCATGAGTGTGAAACTTCAAGATGTGAACTCTATGGGACATGTGCCAAGTATAAAATCTTCTGGGGTAGTACCACAAATAAAACCCCAAGGCATAAAAACAACGAACTTCGATTCTGGACCACAGACACAAAATAAAAAGCCATCTGAGTTGGATCAAGGGAAAAGGCTCCAAGATATGGGACCTGTAGAGTTTAGTCAAGGCCCAAAAATACAAGATATGACAGTGGAGTCAAAGCCCCCAAATGAGGAATCTGTGAAGTTAAACTCAGGCCCACAATTACAAGATGAAAATTATTCTAAGTCAACTCTCGGGACAAAGCTTCAAGATGGAAGATCGATGAAAGTCAGTTCTGGCCCAGGCTTACAGGGTATGAAGCCTTCTGAAGTGATTTCAGAGGACAGGCTTCAAAAAGAGAAACCCGTGGGCTTTGTAGATCAGCTACTGTGGGAAGATGTAAAGTCTTCTAAGTGGACTTTCTGGAAGAGGCTTGACAAGAAACCTTTGCAGCTGGAGTTATCCCCCCAATCACAGAACAGGAAATTACCTATGTTAACACCAGAATCACATCTTCAAGGTATGAAACCTGAGGCCGTCAACCCTGGGTCAGAGTTGAAAGGTGGGAAAGCTGAGCCCATAAATGTCCAAACAATGAAGAATATGGGGATCACTCATGGTGCAGAATCGCACCTTGTGGGATTCTCTGAGCAGGCCTTGGACGCAACAATTTATAGTGTAGGATCTTCTGAACTCAATGTCAGAAACCAGAAGCAAGATGGGAAACCTCACAAGTTAAGTCAAAAGCAACAGCTTCAAAGTGTACAGCCAATAGTGTTCAGTCAGGAGCCACATTTGCAACATATTAAGTCACCAGAATTATATAGAAAGCTTCAAGATCTGAAATCTATGGAATTCAATTCAGAGCAACAGTTGCAAGATGTGAAGTCCTCTGACTTGGGTCTGGGAACAGGTATGCAGTCTTTAGAGTTCAAACCTGGGCCACAGTTGCAAGAGATAAAACCTTCTGAGGTGTGTCCTGAGACCAAGCTGCTAGATGAGTCATCTCTGAAATTCAAGCATGAGCCTAGACTGCAAGGTAGGGCATCCTGTGGCCCGAGTCCAGGGCCACAGATTCACTGTGAAAATGTTATCGCATCCAACACCAGAACACAAAACGTAGAAGCATCTGAGTTGCACCCCCGTCCAGATCTTCAAGGTATAAAATCTAAAGTGCTTTGCTTTGGGTCACAATTGGAAGGTGTGAATTCTGCATGGACTCCCAATGCAAATTCTCAATATGTAAATTCCAGTGTGTGTAAACCTGGGCCATATTTGCAAGATATGAATTCCTCTGCATGCATTCCAGAACCAGGCCCTCAATGTCTAAATCCTTTGTGCAACCCTGAACCACATTTGCATGGAATGAATTCTGAATGCATTTTAGAACCAAAATTGCAATGTGTAGATTCTACTGGTTGCATCCAAGAGCCAAATTTGCAAGATGTAAATTCTTCTGTATACACCCCAGAGCCAAGTCCTCCATGCGTGAATTCCACTGAGTGCAATCCCAAAGCACATTTGCAAGGTGTGAATCAATGGGCACCAATTATAGGGCCACAAATTCAGTGTGTAGATTCTACTGGGTGCATCCCTGCATCTCATTTGCAAGGTGTGTGTTCTTCTGTGTGCACTCCAGGGCAAAACCTTCAGGGTGAACATTCTAATAGTTATAATCTTGGGCCACTTCTTCAAGGTACGAATTACTGTACAACATTTCCAGCACCCCAAATTATGTGTGTGAATACTGTTTGGTGTAACACCCAAACACATTTTCAAGATGCGAATAATTCTGCACGTACTCCAAGACAAGAATCTCAGCCTGTAAATTCTATTGGATACAATCGTGGGCAACATTTACACGCTCCAAACCTTCAAGGTATGAAGTTTTCTGAGTTGAACCTAAGGACAGGACTTCAAAGAGAGATACCTATCGTAGTTAACCCAAGACAACACTTCCAGTATTTGAAGCCTGAATTAACTCCAGTGTCAAATATTACAGGTGTAGCACCTGTAGGATACAACCCTGGGCCACAGGTACAATGTGTGAATTTTTCTGAAGTGACTCTAGGATTAAAATCTCAACACACAAGTTCAATGACGCCTAGTTCAGGGTCACAGTTGGAAAACATGAAGTCCTTTGAGTTGACCCCTGCATCAGAATCTCAATGTCAAAAATCTGTTCTGTTGAGCTTTGGACCACCATTTCAAGGTGGGAAGTCATCTAACTTAGTGGAAGGGACAAAGTTTCAAGAGATCCCATTTTTGAAGAATCAACTTAGGTTAGGGCAGCAAACCTCACAACCCATGTTTGCTTCGAGGCCTCAGTCAAGTGGTGTGAAACCTGTGGGAGTTTTGTCAACATCACTTAGTGAAGATAGAATGTCTTCAGAGATGAGCAAACAGCCACTGCTTTGTACAAATCCTGTAAAACTGACCCCTGGCTTCAGTCTTCAGGATTTGAGAAGTAAGGAATTTTCACCAGACCCTTGTTTTCAAAACGTTAAATCTGTTCAGTCGAAGCCAGGGTCACAGTCTCAAAGTGTGAAATCTTCAGAGTTCACACCAGGCCACAGTTCTCAATGTGCTAAGTCTTCCTTTGCACCAAAACCATGTTTTCAAGATACAAAATCTATGCCGCTAAGGCTAGGATCCCAACAGCAAGGTATGAATTGCCAACAGATTCCTTTAGATAAGAAACCAATGGTATCAACACCAGAATCCACCAGGAAGTTCTTAGCAGGGCCAGCACTGACTAGTGTCAAATTTTCAAATTTGATTCCGGAATCACAACAATGTATGAAATCTACAGAATTTACATCAGAGCCGAAGTGGCAAAGTGTAAAACATGTGACATTGTCATCAGTGTCTCTGCCACAAGCTGGAAACTCTGTGTGGTTATCACCAAGGCCATTCCCTCAAAATGTGACATCTGGGAACCAAATTCCCCAAACAAGTAATCAAATCACAGAATCCCCTAAAGTGATATATAGACCAGGGCACCAGATGGTGGAGTATACAGAGATAAGCAGGAAGATAAGGCACCAAGTCCCTAAATTGGTGAATCATCAAGATATGGGATCTTCAGAAATGACAAAAGGGCTGGGACATAAAAGCACAGAAACTATAAAGAAATCTATGAGGTTGACCCCCAAACCAACAGATAAAGTAATAGACTCATTAGGGGTGCCTCAGCAGCTAGATCTTCCAGTACCAGCATTTGTTGATGTGACTCCAACACCAAGTGATCAAGATTCAAACTCCTCAGAACTGACCCCACCGAAAAGCTACCCAATCCCAGAAACTCTGGAGTTGCTTTCTTGTTCATTGCCTCAATTTAAAGACTTCAAGGAGTTACAGACAAAACAAGTCACAGGTTCTGATAGAATGACCCTCGAGTTCAAGAATCGTGTTGCTGAAATAATGAAGCAAATTTGTGAGGCAAGACAAGGGAAAGAATTTCTTAGAGTGACTTCAAAGCCAGTAAATAGAGAGACAGAATGTGCAGAAAAATTTCCAAGGCCATGTCCTCAAGACTTAGGACCTGTGGTGGTGAGCTCTGAAAAAAGATCCCAAAGGGAACAATCTGTAGTGTGTCCACCAAGGCCGTCAGGGGAGGAAGCAGGCAGAATACCAAAGCCCCAGTATGCAAACATGGAAAATGCAAGCATAACGCCAATAGAATCACTGGAAAAAATTATGAACTTTGTAACGATCAGTCCAAAGTCAGATCAAGTGACAGAATCTGCAAAGACACATCTTCATGGTCCTCTATCAGAGGCTCTCCCCAAAGTTTCTGAATCTGTGACAGTGATCCCTGGACCACCACTTCAAGTTATAAAGTCTGTGATGATACCGGAGCCTACCTCTCTAGTGTCAAAATGTGCTGATTCGACTCCCAAACTGCATGATGTGATATTTTCAGAATTTTCTCCAAGACTTTGGTTACAAAATGTGGAATCTAAGAAACTAATTGCAGAGCCAACACATCAAATTTTAGAAACAATAGACTCGTTAGGCTTTCAAGTTATAAAGACTATATTGGTCCCCAAACCACTGCTTCTGATTGTAAAATCTGAAGAACTGGCACCAGGACCAAGTCCTCAGGCTATAGAAACAATAGGAGTTGCCACAAGATCAAACATTAAAGTAAAAGATTGTTTGAGCTTGTTCCCAAGACCACATCTCCAAGACATGGTAAAACCTATGGAACTAACTCCAAGGGCAAATATTCAAGGGAATTCTGCAGAATTAATCTTACAGCAAACATCTTCACTTGAGGAACCTCCAGTATTAACTCAAAAGCAAAGGCTTCAGGCTGAAAAATTTCTAGGGTTCAAAACAGAATCTCCAAAAGATATGGATATTGAGGATTTGACTCAAGGACGTGTGTTGCAGAATAGAGACCCAGAAATGATAACATCAGAAAAATTGCAAGCAGAAAATTACTTCTCCAGGCTTATACACAGCCCTTCAATCCCATTCATTTCAAGCTCTGTCAAAACAACGGAATTAGCATCCCTTCAGGGTTCTGGGATGCCAGAAGTATCGAGAGCCTTGGCTATGAAGAACTTTGGTGTTGGCATTTTGCAGTCTCCAGAGTCCTATACAGACACTATTATGATACGATCATCAGCTCTTCCTTTGGTCCTTCCCCATGATAAGACAGGGAACACTGTAAGGACCCTATATCCTAAGATCTGGGAAATGGATGTCATATCTAAGGAAGGAGTTGAAAAGAAGCAAATGGGGGAATTTGGGGATTCACTCCAGAGCTACTCTCCATATCCACTGAGATTATTACCCTCGGAGTTTCAGGCAGGATTCGGAGCTCGAAGAAACCCTATCCGTTCTTTCCTGGGCAGACAACAGAATGTCTGGGAAAGTCATGTCTGTAGACAGCGACTGCCTAGAAAATATCTCTCCAATATGCTAATGCTGGGGAATGTTCTGGGGACCACTATGGAAAGGAAGCTTTGTTCTCCACAGTTTTTAACAGAAGGAACCACTATGGATATTGGCCTAACTATTCAGAATTTATTTGGGGTTCCAGCTGAACTGATGGAATTTTCCCAAAGCCTAGTAGAGAGGGGTCCAAGGACAATTTCTCAGACTTCAGTGTTCAAAAACTATATTCAGAGACATATTTTATGCCATGGTAATGAGAAAAGAATGCCCTTAAAGATGTGGACACGTGGATCCACATCTTCCATAATACAGCAATACTCTGGTACTAGACTGGGAATAAAGAAAACAAACTCAAAACTCAGTGACATATTTCAGGAAGTCACTCAGCAAGTGTCTGCCTCATGTCCAGGAGCCCAGTTTCCTGCCTTATCGAAGTCAGAGTCTCCTCTCGGGATACTTTACAAAAGGGAAGATCCTGTTTCCAGGGAGCAGAGTAAAAACTCACAGATCGGTTCACCGACAAGGACTTTTGAGTCTCACCACTCCCTTAAGGCAAATTATCTTTCTCAGGCCAAGACGGGTATCTCAGAACAGCTCCACCTGCTAAAAGATCTACAGCTAAAAATAGCAGCAAAACTCTTAAGGAGTCAAATACCCCACAATGTCCCTCCACCTCTAGCGTCAGGTCTTGTCCTGAAATATCCAATCTGCTTGCAGTGTGGCCGGTGTTCAGGATTTAATTGCTGTCATAAGTTACAGTCGGCTTTTGGGCCCTATCTTCTCATCTACCCACAGATCCACCTTTTGAGCACCCCTGAAGGCCACGGTGAGATTCGATTGCATCTTGGTTTTAGATTGCGAACTGGGAAAAGACCTCAAGTCTCAAAGTATCGTGGAAGAAACAGAGCAGATACGTGGAAGAGTACTGCACCACCATCACGAAGGAAAGCTAAAGTCTATACTCCAGCTTCCAAGAGTCCAACTTCTACAAGAGATTTCCAGTCCAGATCTCCTCAGTCCCCGACTTCTGTACAGGTTCACGTTAGACAAAAACAATGGGGCAGCCGTGGTGTGGTAGGAAAGACAGAAGCCAAAGACTCGGGATACTACGAATTCTGTCAGGTCCACTCCTTATCAGAGAGTGGTTTTGAAAGTAACCAAGACGAAAAGTGGGTTACATCAAGCCTCAGAAAGACCTCTGACTTAAAATATCCAGTGAAGAAAATCACCCAGGGACTTAAAACACAAAACAGAAAGCTCTTCAAAACCAGTAGAACCTTAGAAGAGAGTCCTTCAGGAACACTGACTGATCCATCAAGAAGCAAGAGTATTGAAACTTCTCCAACAAGCACTACTTCTTCCAAGAGACCATCTAAGAAATCCTCCCAGCCCAAGTTCATCCAGCTGCTTTTTCAGGGCCTAAGGCAGGCATTCCAAACAGCACATAGAATGTTGGCTATTACTGGACGGAAGTCTGAGGACAGGACAAGATCAGACCATTTGTGGTCAAGCAAAAACCTGCACTCCAAACAAAAAGCCAAGGATTATTGCTTAACAGAAGATGATAAAGGAGCCAGCACACCAGTTGTCAAGCCAAGGTCAACAGGTTCGACCCCTAAGCAAGAGGACAGATTGCAGGAAACTCATGACCAATGTAGACAAGCTCAACGGCCCAAACAAGCAAGCTCTTCCCATCCCAAACCTTCGCAATTGCAGAAGACCATGGTTTCTGAAAGAGATGCCATTGTCCAAGCTTCTTCAATCACAGAATCTTTAAGAATACTTGAAAATGTCAACGGCAAAACAAAGAACTATAGTGCTGAAATCTGTGGTCTGGAGTCTAATGTAGGGACCAAATTTCTGGCTGAGGAGAGTGTTGCACCTGACTCCCTTTTGACGAGTACCCTGCAGAGTCAATTTAAAGACACACACTCAAAGAAGAAAGAACAATATGGCTTCTTCCGGGAGAGGGCCCTACCTAGTAAGCCTTCTGAAAGGACCTATCACAGCCTCTCAGAGAAAACTCATCATCGAAGTGTCTCTGAGAGAAGACATTGCAGTCCTTCTCAGAAAAAGCACAGCAGTCCCTCTGACAGGACCCTTAGAAGTCTCTCTGAGAGGAGTCATCGCAGTCCCTCCCAGAGGAAGGATCGTAGTCCCTTTGTAAGAACCCCTCAAAGTTTCTCGGACAGGAGCCATCACAATTTCTTTAAGAGGAAAGGTCGAAGTCCCTTAGGGAGGAGCCGAAGCCCCTCAGGGAGGAGCCGATCTAATCTTCCTGGGAGAAGGCCAGCGAGGAGCTCTCGAAGTCCTCGGGAGAGAAGAGTTCACACTCCCTCCCCAAAGGGTAGACTCAGTCTTTCTGGGAGGAGCCAACACAGGCCCTCCTCTCAGAGAGGCCGCAGTCCCTCAAAGAGGAGCCAGCTCAGTCCCATCCAGAGGACTCGGGGCAGTCCTTCAGAAAGGAGCCATGGCAGTCTCTCTGAGCGAAGCCCTTCCAGTCCCTTTGTTAGGAAAAGACATATCTCTTCTGGAAGAGTCTACTACAGTCACTCTAAGTCCAGGCCACACAGACGCCGCCACCGCAGTCATACTGAGAGAACTCACTACAGTCCCTCTGAGAGCAGAAACAATCATCACTCAGAAAGGACCCGCCAGCACGGTCAAAGTGACAGACCCCGTCACCGTCACAGGGAGAGGCTCAAGCTCAGTTCCTCCAAGGAGAGGATCACATATAGCTTGTCTAAAGAGTTCAAGACTTATTTAGGTATGTCTCCTGGGGACTACACCCAAAGCCCCCGAAACTGGACAAGTTTGGAGGCATGAAGTTAATAGATAAGGAGAGATCTGCCCCTATCAGTTAACATCTTGCAAATCTTCACCTAGCTGCCCCTTCCTGCTCAGCCACTGCCTGCACCCTCAGCAACGGAAGAGCTATCAGGGAGGGGAGTGAGAAAGGGTCTGTAATTTAACATCAATAAAGGGGCAATGGTTGAACTCTATTCGCAGCAGTAAGGTCACTTGTGGGGTGGGTGGGAACTCGGGTTGGGGCTCCCGAGGACCCCTTGAAGACTTCAGACTCCGCCCCCTTGCTCCAGCCCTCCCGCCCCGACGCCTCCCTCGTCCCTGCTCGCCGTGGGGGCGGGATCTCAAAAGAAGCCGCAGCCGAAGCTGCGTGGTCACGTGACGCTTTCCCCGCCGCAGCCCCCTCGGAAGCTGCTAGGCGGAAGTAGATGTTCAGAACAGGGCTAGTCGCCGCCGAGACCACATCCGGGAGAGGCGAGGAGAGCGGAAGTGGCGTTGGTCTGGCCGGAGCCCTTGGGTGAAATTGTTAGGCGTGGAGGGGGAGTGATGTCTTCCAGACTCGGTGCAGTCACCGCCGTGAGTTCCTTGGTGTGACCATTATACTTTAGAGATAGAACTGTCGAGCCGAGAACACGCGGTCCCTTGCTTTTGTCCCGTACTCAGAGTTGGTTTTATCAGAGCCCATCGTAGGCCCCACCCTTTTATATCAGATGCACTTGCCCCCTTTTCTTTCCCATTTTTATTTTTGCCTGTTCCCCCATATCCTCGGACTCAGTTCCTCGACAGATTGTAATTAGTTTATTATTCCTTCAGCATCCCCAGTGTCTTCCGTTTCCTTTATCTTTTTTTTTTTTCATCTCCCTTTTCGAGCCTCCATCTAGGATAGGGCTTTGAAAATGGGCAGAGATGAAAGCTCCGGTATTGTCAACCCGCATTTACATTGTAGAAAAATAGGATGGCACACGCTTCCTAAAAAGTGTCACCTTCGTTCCATTGAAGTAGTTGCCCGCGAGAGCTTCACATGTGGGCACGAGGGGGGCTCATCTCTTTGTGGATGAAATGCAAAGGTCCCTAGCACTCACCCGTGTGCTTGTGATTTGCTAGACCCCGGGACCCACACCCTTTAAGCAGCAGAGGAGCACCAGGATCGTGGGAGCTAAGAAGTAAGTGAGGTTTTCGGAGGACATTTTTGAAATTGTGTAGACAGTGCTGATAAAGATGTTCTGTACACTGTGGAGCATCATAGCCACCAGCCGGGTATGGATTGGGGGCACTTGAGATGTGGCTAGTGCAAATGAAGAACTGAATTATAAGTTTTATTTCATTTTAATTGACTTAAATTTCAGTAGCCATCTGTAGCTAATGGCTACTGGATTGGACAGTGCAGGTATAATCCTAGATCGGGGAAGGAAAACCTAGCTTGCAATAAAAATGCACATTATAATAAAAAACAGTATGTGATTCAACTAGTGGTAGTCCTGCATCCCCCCCCCCCCCCCCCCCCGCCCCATCAAATATGTGCTTATAATTAATTTGATGAACTTAGGGAGGAAAATAAAAATAGCTGTAAGGAACCTTTATATTTTTCAAGCTACTTAGTTGTGACACTGATTATTATTTTGTGTAATGAATGTGCTGAGTTTTTCCATGGCTAATCCAAAAGAAAAGATTACTATTAACTTGGACCTTCCTGGTGAATACATTCATTTAGAAAACATTATTTAATGTCGGCTCTGTCCCAGCTGTGTGGTAGGTTGGGCATACAGGCTTGGGAATCAGAACGAGATAGGTAAGCATAGCAACACAGACAAGTGCAATAGGAAAAATGTATTTTTTGAGGTGGGGTAAGCATAGCAACACAGTCCAGTGTAATAAGAAATATGTATTTTTTAAGGTAGGTTCTCACTATCTGGAAACTCACTATGAAGCCTAGGCTAGCTTATAACTTGCAGTCCTCCTGTGTCTGCCTCCTGAATGCTGGAATTACATGCCTGTGCCACCACACACTGTTTTTTGATTGAGACAGGGTGTCGTTCTATGGCTTAGGCTGATCAGAATTGACTATGTAGCCCAGACTGAACTTGAACTTTTGCATTCTTCTGCCCTGGAATTACAAACATGAGCTACTAAATGCACTGCTAGTAAATATTTTTATAATGGAATTTAACACTCTGCTTTTGGGAAGCAGAGTGGTGATTTTAGTATTTCCAGAATATGCCATTCATAGATAGAGGCTTGAAAATCAAAGAATAATGCAGTTAGCTAGCTAGGAGGCGCAACCCTCTGGTCCCAAGAGAGCAGCATTTGAACACGTAAAAGAAATTAATACCATTTCTGTATCTTTGGCTTGAAAGATGGTGGAGAGTATTATAGGGACATCCTTTAGAGAAATTAGCAGGAGCCAGGTCATGAGGGCATTATGGCATGCTGAGGTGTTGGAATTGTAATTTCCCTGGAGGGAAAGGTCACTTTTGAAGAGATGAATTGAAAGGTGAGTAGAGACTGGTACGAGACAATTGCAATAACCTAAGAAAGAAAATGAAACATGGCTCATGATAGTAACTGTATTACAGATATATCTGATGGCTGGAGGTGAGAGGTGAGAGGGAGGAACATAGCCTGTCTACAGGTTTCTGTCTTTGGCAACAGTTGGAATTTTGGATTCATAAACCAAACTGGGAATTTTGAACAAGAGGAATGGATTTGGGCTTCATTTGAAGAGTTGATCTAAAATACAGACTTGAGAGTTAACTTCTGTGAAAAGTAATTGGAAATATGTTACTTTCCTCCACAAGCTGAGTGTATTCATAATCACACAGGAATTATGATAAAGACAGTGTTTCTTAGTGTGTACATTGGCTTCCCTGGAGAAGATTGTTAAACAATATGAAGGCAAACGGGTTGCCTGTCTCCTAACCAGGATTTGACTCATTGAGAGTACTTAAAAAATGCTTTAGATTTGTTTGTGTGTTTATTGTTTTGCTCACATGGGTGTCTGTGCACAGACATAGGTCAGAAGAGGCCATCGAATCTCCTGGAACTGGAGTTATGGATGATTGTGAATCACCTTGTGGGTGCTGGGAGTCACGTCTAGGTCCTCTGCAGGAACACCAAGTACTCTTAAGCACTGAGCCATGTCTCCAACTCCAGGAATACTCAGTATTAATCTTCTTTCTGAGAGATGGCAAAGTTTGGGAGCTGATGGTCTGAAGTGAGACCCACAAAGAGAATGAAACCTGGGGAATACCAGTCTTTAAAGATAGATAAACTAGGAAAAGACTACAAAGGACGCTGAGATGAACCAAATGCTTTTTAAAATGAAATCTAAATATTTGTGCCTAAAAGAACAAGCTAGAGGTTCTTAAAAATGCTTGATCCAAACGAGTTGAAAATAGGCTAACTTTGTCATTTGTGTGATTAGAAGCTGAGACTTTGCTATAAGTTATAAAGTCATTAATCATGAAAGACATTGCATCATAAGAGCATTTTCTTGTTACAGTGTTGTTGTTTGTGAAGGTTTGAGATAGTATCATTTTTAATAAATAAAACTGCTTTGGGTTGATAGACAGCACAAAATATTTGATGTTTCTCAAGTCTTTTAAAAACAAGATAGTAACCTAGGAGAGAGTGTCTTAACCATGGTGACTTCATCTGCTGCATATTAATTGTGCTGATCCTGTAAACTATTGATTTTCACCCATGCTTACACTTATTCATGAGATAGAAGATGGAGGTTTCTAGATCCTCTGTTGACAGTAAAAAAATTCTCCACAAGACTTTTCTAATGGGAATCACATAGGATTTATCTTTTAATGACCTATTGATGGTGTGCAGTCTTTATTAGAGAATAGAGATTGCTCCTGTTGTTTGCTGAGTTTCACTCCTAGAGGTCTGTCGATTCCTGTTATTAAGGTATAATTGACATACAGTAGATGCATTTGCTTCATGTGTACACTGTGTTCCATTTTGATATGAGAACGACTCTATAAAACTGTAATCACTATGACAGACTTTCTATCTCCCATTTTTTTTAAATTTAATTTAAGTTTATGTGTATGAGTGTTTTGCTTGCTTGTATGTCTGTACCATGTGTGTGCCTGGTGCCTGCCAAGGCCAGAAGAGGGTATCAGATCCCTGGAACTGGAGTTACAGACCGATGTGAGATGCCACATGGTGAAGGAATTGAAACTGGGTCCTCTGCAAGAGCAGCTTTTTTTTTTTTGTCTCTTCAAAATTTTTTTTTTTTTTTTTTTTTTTTTTTTTTTTTTTTCTTTATTCGAGACATGGTTTTTCTGTGTAGCCCTGGCTGTCCTGGAACTCGCTTCGTAGACTAGGCTGGCCTCAAACTCACAGAGATCCTCCTCTGCTTCCTCAGTGTTGGGATTAAAGGCGTACGCCACCACTGCCTGGCTTTTTTTTTTTCTTTAAAGATTTATTTTTATTATTTTAAATTATGTGAATGCATTTGTATCTGTGTGGGTGTTATGTATGTGAGTGTTGTGTCCACAGAGGCCAGAGGGGTTGGATGATTTGGATCTGGAGTTACAGGCAGTTGTGAGCCTCCCAGTTTGTGTGCTGGGAACTGAACTTGGGTCCTCTAGAAGAGCAACAAATGCTCTTAACTGCTGAGCCATCTTTCCAGCCCCTCCCAAAAGTTTGTGGTGTCCTTTTGTAGTCTATTTCTCTCTCCACTCCTGTCCCTAGGCTGGTAGCTCTCAATTGTGGGTTGTGACCCTTTTGGAGGTCACATACCAACTATCCTACATATCATATTTACACTATGATTCATAACAGTAGCAAAATTATAGTTAGGAAGTAGCAACGAAATAATTTTATGGTCAGGGCGTCACCCCAACATGAGGAACTGTGTTAAAGGTCACAGCATTAGGAAGGTTGAGAACCACTGCTCTAGACACTAATAACTAATTGTACAGTGGCTTTCATGTTCTACATTTTTACATAAGTCACATCTCACTCACCTCATCTTTAAAAAATGCTATATCTTTGCAAGAGCAATAATTTTGAGTTGTAAATAGTTATTCTTGCCAAGTAGAATTCCACTACAGGTACATCACAATTTGTGTAGCCGTCTACCTTTATGGAAATTTGGGTTGTTGGGTTATTTTTCATTTGGAGAATTACACTAAAGTTGTATGAGATTCCTGTGTCAATCTTGTGTAGACAAGTATTTTCATTTCACTTGGTAAATGCCTAAAATAGCATTTACCGTCTATGTTGATTGGGTCATATGACACTTTTGTGTTTATTTTTTATTTAAAAAGTATTTTCATTACTGAGAGTATGATAAATATGGTTGATATAACATGTTAATTGGTTTAATTTAGCCATGCCATTGTGAACATACTGTATTATGTATCATAATTGTGCATGACTTTATTTATGAGCTAAATAAATGAATGAAAAAATC